AAATCTTATTCTCGATCTGCTGAAAAAAACAATTCCGATTCTTTTGCTTTAGAAAGAGATTGGGTTCTTTTTATTCAAATGCAACTATGTCACAGTACTTTGAGAGATTATTTAAAACGTAGAGATGCTAATTTATTGGCTTCGAAAAATGATCCTTTGAGTTCTGTTGATCGTCATGCTAGTATTGAATTGTTTCGTGGAATAGTTCGTGGTGTTGCTTATATTCATGAACAAGGTTTAATTCATAGAGATCTTAAACCCGGAAATATTTTCATTGGCATGATTCCTGATACGAATCACGATGATGATATTTGGGTTGCTACTGATAATACTTCTTTCAATGTTGAACGTTTGGTTCCAAAAATTGGTGATTTTGGTTTGGTTACTGCTGTGGGTGATGATGCTACTGATTCTTCCATGAATAATTCTATCAAGTCTGATTCTTCTTGTGTTAAAAGTTTCAATTCTAATAATCGAACACTCAGTCATCACAAATCAAATTCTTCTTTATGTTCAAGATCAAGAACCACTGGTGTTGGTACAGTCACGGTAAATTAAAATTTTCTATCATATTAAGGTGTTTAATTTCCAATTACCCATTACAGCATTAACAATTGCCAATTTCTTTTTATAGTATGCTTCCCCCGAGCAACTTGCAAAACCTGCCATACCTTATAATGAAAAAGCCGATATATATTCGTTAGGCATAATTTTCTTTGAACTTCATTTCCCTTTTTCCACTGGGCATGAACGTGTTCAGGTTCTAAAAGATTTAAGACATGGAATATTACCAAATGGTTTTGTCCAACGATTTCCAAAAGAGGTTTGTAAAACCTGGATTGTAAAATTTGGATTATATAGAATTGTATATAGAATTAAAATTTTTTTTTAAATAATTATAGACGGCATTTATTTTGTGGATGATGGCGGAAGATCCAGATAAAAGACCAAATGCTAAACAAATATTGGATTTTGAATTATTATCAGTTCCAATTCATGTAAATATATATTATTATTCTAAATATAGTAGGTATGAAATATAATGAATTTTGTCATTTAACGTTATATGTATATATAGGGCGAACATGCAGAATTACAACATAGACTAGTTGAAAACACACAAATAATAGATCTTATTACTAAAGAAAATGAAATGTTAAAGAAAAAAGTTGAAGAATTAGAAGGATTATTGAAGAATTGTCAATGTAGAAACAAAAACTTGTAATTCGTATCATTATCAAAATTTTTTTTCAAAATTATGTTATTTTAGTTGTTATTTTAGGTGTTATTTTTAATTGAGTTATTATTTTAGTGTTGTTATTTTTAGTTGTCATTTGTTATTTTAGCGACATTTATTGATGTAGTTATACAAGTTATTACACTATTGCAATTATTTTTTTATTATCCGCTTTTTTCAATTGTAAACTGAAAATTATTTAGATTAGTAAAATAGATGTTTATTTATACTTGATTTGCAATACGTTACAGCTTTCACGTTGGGGTGTTTGGTCAACATACTAAATCAAACATATGTATAGTCCCCTATCAAATCGGTATAATTGAGATTTTT